TTGTACAAAATAAAAAAATAATTTTTAACGATACAATAGTCTTCGTTAGGCTTAACATCGACGAAAATTCAATGCGAAGCGACACGCAACGGAGAAAAATTTCAACACGGGATAAATTAATATATTTTTTCGTACATAATTGGTTATCCGAAAAATAAGTTATCCGAACAACCCCAGTCCTTAATTGATTCGGATAAACGACGCTGTACTGTATTATGAATCTTATTAATTTTAAAAATTAATTAATCGTAAGTGTCTGAGAGTATTTTATTCCAGCTAATTATAATGGCTGTTTTAAGCTCATCTTTATTATCAACTAGTATTTTTAACTTTTAAAATTTAATTTTTTAGGTTTGAGTCTGGGCTAATAGTTTATTTCGTTTGTTTCGATGGCACGTGGCATTATCAGTCTGAAAACAACATCAGTATCACCGAAATGTTCTTCGATTGTTTCAATCAGAAACGATTCTAAAATTTCCTCGTACATTTCTATTACAGCCTCATTAAAGCATATCTTCCTCTTACTATCAGAAATTCTCGCAATTTTGAGTAATAAATTCTTAAGAATTGCGTTGAAGCTTATTACGTTGTTTCATAAACATAAGAATGTAAAATAATGGCTGATGAAATGTAGCATACGTATTTTCTTATGATATAAAGAGAATGCCATTCAATATAAATTAAGTTACTTAATCACAAAGTATAATTAGAGAGATCTAATTTATTGTTGAAGGTTTTAAAGTCTATAATTTAGCATTATATCATTAAGTTGGTGTTTCGTTTAATAAAACATTCCTCAGAAACAGAAAGTGTTTGATGGATCATAAAGTGTTTAAAAAGCTGAGATTAATATTTTGTTATTATATAATTCTTATAATAACTAACTAGAAAATATATAATTCGCTTTTCTTATTTGTTATTTTAAAGTTCTCTTATAGCAGCAAACTCAATTGTTTCTGAAATAAAATTTTATAGTTTGCGGACAAAATCTTCGGTTCGATAACCTAATGTATGCATCAAACTATGCCGCTGGAATTCCCTACCAAAGTGTTGTTGGCTCCCAAAAAAAATTTTATTAATAAATTAGTTCTTATTTGAGCGTGTCATACGTGAAACGGTGAGGCCATATCCAGATTTGGCAGAATTCGAATTAGATTTATTTATTTAGACGTTCAGTCCGATTCTTTCCAAACTTTACTAAATGTAACGTTTTAATAATTGATATCTGTAATATATGTAATAATAAAATATACTAATAATTCCGGTGGTTATCGAATTGTGATACCTGATATGTTAAAAGAAGTCATATTGAAAAAAATATAAGACAATATTGTTGGACAGTTAGACGATTAGAAACACGAAGAAAAATAAGAGATTAGTCTTATTGCCAAGGATAAAAAAGTGAATTGAAAAATATGTGTTAATGCGCTACCAATTTCGAGCATGAAAGTTTAAACAGAAGAAATTCGCGGAAATGATGCAGAGTACAGAAGATAGTGTGTGAACGACTTGACATTTGATATTTTTGTCTCCAATTCAAGATTAAAAACTGAGAAGTTACGTTTTTTTTATTTTCTAGTTAAACACATTGGTAAAGACTTTTTTATTAAACTGCAAAAACTGTAATAAAAATATCAAATAGTGTTTGTAGATATGAAATGCCAAAAGCGTTGGCGTTAGAAACTGGATATTAATTAATCTGTCCTTTAGTGGTGAGGATCTGTAAGGAATTGGGAATTAAGCATATGATAATCACGTTTAAATGTAACCAAGAGAGCAAACAAGGATATTGGAAAAATGATATTTTCGTTATCCGATTATTGGTGAGGATCATTTCTTACCAACCGTCAGGAAGATTGAATCAACATTTCCAGAATTATCTTTTAGCCATCAGTTAATTTATTTATTAGCTGCACGTTTACTAGATTGCATGTACGACGTCGGGGTCTAGATCAGAATAGTTGAATATCTTAGAAAACCGTTCACGAAAAGACAGTGAAAATTAAGAAAATAACACAGAAAGCTAAGTAAACGTTACGAATGCTTAAGGCAGAAGTCTAGAACACAATTGGAAGACGCAGACAACTAACTTTTCAGAGTAGTATTTGTATTACTAACAACACATCCATTGCTTTATTTGTTATATATTTCAGTGCATAATAATAACATTAAAATAGACTGGGACGTTTGAAATATCGAGGATTACTTCGCAACCCGTATGCGAATTGGAGAACAGTCAAAATTGAGCTATTGCAGATAAATATCACGTTTCTAATTTCATAATTATAATTTTTTTAAATGTCAGCCTTGAACTGTGAGAACTGGAAGAATACATATTGATCTCCGGCATTTTTTCATCTCAAAATCTACAGCCAAGGTGAAGAGTAGATTGCAGATAAGAAGGTGGTCTTCCAGCACTAAAGAAACGACACGAAGGACAAGCAATGTGAGTCTATTGGCGCAATGTTCTTACATCAAAAACAATGAGAAATCATGACTTGCGAGGTTGTAAGAAATGTAATTTGAAGCGATGGCTCTTAAGAGAAATAAGTATGTCAGTGGTGGTGGCAAAAATAATTTACATCTAGCAGTTATTGTAAGTTTGCTGTTGAATATGCTATACTTTAAACACGACACGTATAATTAGTGAATTAGAAGTATGTTAATAAATTGTTGTTACAAGTGACTACAGCTGATCTGGAAAAATAGTTATTCCGATAAAACTATAAAATCAAGGCTACTAGAAATTATATGATTATAATTCACAATTTATAATATATTTATTGCCCTAATAGAGAACCTTACAAATTCAATGGCTCAATTAACGTTAATTAATCAAACAATCGTCGTTAGATCAATTCAACAATTCTTTATTGAATTGCAAAGCAAATCATCGATTTTAACAGTATTGTGTTTTGTGGAAGTAGTTTCCGAAATATAAATGCGTACAATCAAATAAGAAAATTACATTATTTCCTTCGTAATGTCCAAAATTCATATTTAACAAGTAAAATAGAATTTAACCTCTAAAAAATAATCAATTTTCGTTAACACGTGACGTGCTTTTAGAATTCAAACCTTCAATCTCCTTTCTACTATTTTCATTATATTCATTTTCATGCGTTTTTATTTTTAATAAATTACACGAAATAGAATCTACGAGACTCAGAATAACTGGAAGTAAAATTAGACTATGAAAAGAAGCAAAAATTACCATTAAAGTTATAATTTTAGAAAATATGACAAACGATTCCGCAGGACCGAAGTATAACACCGAAACACCCAATAACGTAGATATACATCCTTGTAACACCGGGTATCCAGCAGCATATAAACAACTCTTGATTTTCTCATTCGGTGTCTTCTTTTTACAATTGATAAACGCGTAAGCCGTATGAACCGTGTAATCCACACAAAATCCCGTACACATCACAAAAGTTATTAAAGCCATAGTGTTTACACTCATATTCCATAAAGACATAAATCCAATTAATCCTACCTGAATAGATATAAGAGTCATGGCAACACAGAAAAGAAAGAATAAGTTTGGGGTAAATAAAATAAATACTAAAATCACTATGAAGGCCGCACAAGAGATGGCTTTTAAGCAATTTGAAAGGACATTAATATACAGTTCATAATACATAAATCTAAAATTGTATGCAATAACAGGAATTTTGCTGTTATCGGCAATTTTTCTTACATTTTCAAAGAAAAACTTTTCGTCAATTCGAGATTCTCCATCCAAACTTGAAACGATGAATCTGCAAGCAGTAATTTTATCACCTTCTTTATTAAAAATAACGTCATTTTTGAATCTGTTTGCTACTTTAGCTTTCAAGAATACATTTTTAAATGCACTCAGAAAGTCATCAGAATTACTCAGATTGTAACCAGAAAGCGAAAACTTCGCAACTGGAGATTTAGTGAATGCCAGAAATTCTCTTAGCCAACTTTCTGTGGTCGACGAATCGGATATAAATGGAGCAGACTCGAAACTTTGCAGAAGATCCTCTATGTCATTTTGGACAGTTACATTTGAGTAGTCTAATGTCTGGTTAATGACTATTTGCACTTGATGACTGTAATTAGAAAAATACTTATTTTCTGTATTTAGATAGTCACGTACGTAAGAAGTGTATGAAGGGAGTTTAGTTACGTCGTCTCCTTCTTGAATAAATTGCATACAATATATTGCACCCGTTAGATAAATAATAAAAATGACGATTACGACAACTTTACTAATTGTATTTGTCAGGACTTGACCTAAATATTTTCCGAAAAATAACATGAAGACATTTTCTTCGTTTTTTTCTTTTGTTCTTGCTTCTAAATTCCTTTGAACTATAAACAAAAGTGACATATTTCTGACAGTAGTTTTTAATTACGACATTATTGTTAAGTGTAGTAATTACTTTAATAAAAACTTTTCTTACCAAAATTATTTCGTTTGATTGGCCAACAAAACATAGCGTGCAGCTTATACTTCTCTCTATATCCATCCAAAGCCATGAGGCCACCAAAAAACAATAACTGATAAATATAGTCAAACAGGATTGCTAGAGCTGCGTAGGCGCTGAATATATGAATCCCTTTGTATGGTGTTACGAATCCCATACAAAACGCAAGAAGATTGGTCAGAGACGTAATCGTAATGGACACCGCAGCTTCGGCGTAAGCGTCTTTCATTCTGTGTGGAATAGAAGCCTTGACGTCAGTTCTTCTCCACGCAGCTATCAATATAAAGCCATCGTCCACACCAACACCTGGAATTAATTAATTAAGTGTTAGGGCTCGTGCAGACATGCGATATTTGTCGTTCGGAAAATATAGTCGTCTATCGTCGGATATCTGAAAAATGGACAATTTTTAAACAGTAATTTGCACCGTCGCTTTTATAGTTATTAGTAATTGGTATCTGTTAATCAGGGCTGTGGAGTCGGAGTAGGAGTCATCAAAACTCCTCCGACTCCGACTCTTTTTCACTTACCCATTTGTTATGTATATAAAACGGAAAAGTACTGGAATCGTGTCAAATTTGACCCTCCAAGTTTTTTTTTTTTTTTTTTTTTTTTTTTTTGCAAATCTACACGTTTGGAGACCTCCCGAACCCCTCAAAAAAGTCAGTAAAGGGGAAAAATTCGCGCGTGTGTATGTGTTGGCAGCTAGTTTGTTTAATTTGTTTATTTTCTGTTCTGAGATATTAAACAATATCTGAGAACGGGTAAAGTTTAAGAAACGAAATGTGGCACTGTAGCTCGCGTATAAAGGGGCATTAATACTATTAAATTTTGGTTCTTAATGAAAGGTCGACAGGGTGAAGATATAAAAGTGGTCATGTCTCATATGTCTTAATGAATATTTTAATCGTCATTAATGTTTAAAATTTATAAATAGAAAATAATTAGAATAATACAAATCTTATATTCGTAGAATAATTTATTAACTTCAATCATCGTTTGACCTTAATCGTTAGACACGCTGTGTGCGTACTTTGAGCTCGCATGTCATACAATTTGCTGTACTCTGAGTTAATTGTTGTTGTAGTTTATTGCTTTAAATGATAATATTGATGTTTATCTCTCGTATATATTTGATACAAACGGTAAATTCTACCAATATTTCTTCTTTATTTCGTGGTTTCTATACTGTGTTAATTAGATAAACGTTTTAACTTTAACCAAAAGAAAAAATACTTACAAAAACTCGCAATCGAAAAATTAATTACTACAGAAATATGGAGTTTCCACCGCACAACTCAAATTTCTCACTACACATCTTATGTAGTGAGAATTTTGTTAGTTCCAGTTACAAGTTATAATATGAACCGAGTAGAATATCTCCTAGGATAAATTTATGAGTGTTAGAACTTTTAATTTAAATTTTTAACACATTAGTTACTTGTTCTTTTGTATAATTAATTAACAATATAAAAGAGATCGTATGTGTGTGTTTATTTGAATTTCCTACAACTCTTATTACTTTTGTCTTCTCGAAATAAAATTTTGGTTATATTTTTTTACGCTATGACGAAAAGTATAATTTACTAAATTTGCGGAAATATTAGCTATTAGCTATAAAAAATTTTTTAATCGATTTTACTGACGTCAATTACATTGCAAAATTAAGCCTTTTTATATTTTATAATATGTAATAATATATTAAATAACATACAGTATATATTTAAAAATAAAATTTACTAACAGATGGTGCAACGTATTTTTAAAGTTTAACTGGGAAAGTTACGAAACTTTCCCGATTAACTTCAGTAAGGTTATCTGTTAGACGGTCAAATTTTAAACGATGTTATACTTTTCTTCTGTTGTATAGGCCTATAACACAGCCGAAAATGTAATTATAGTAATTAGGTTTACATCCGAAAAATACCCTAAACGTATAATTTATACATTATTTGATTATTGTCAGATTTTTAAAACATAAAATTTCTTAAAAACATACCTAAAATTAGAAAAAAAATCATGACATTTGCTGCTGCGTAATCCGCTTTGCAGTAACACAGGAGACCAAATGCTGAAACAGTTGCTAAAAAAGGTGATGCGCAATTTGCAATACCCATCCAAGGTTTGCTACTGAGAGAGTCAGTTGACAAGCAAGAAACTGATGAAAATAACAGCATAATTGGAGCCATAATGAAAATAAGAGGCAATGATATTTCGCCTGTTCGACCAATTTCGTCTTCGACAGAGCGACTTAGTAGTTTAGAAATTTTGGTACCGTTCAAATTAATTTTTGACAAAGTATCTAAACACATTTGTTCCCATTTCAGTGCCATTTCTTTCTTTTCTTTCGTGCTGCGGTCCAATGCGTACATCAACCTAATTGCGTTGGAATCTCGGATCATATTTTCTTCATTCAAACTTACCCCTCCAAATTCTAAAGCAGACAATATTACTTGATCTCCAGTCATATCAGCAGGATATCTGCAAATAGACTCATTTAAACATTAAACAAATGTAAATAGTAGCGATAGTTTTAATTTATTTCACTGGCGAATTAGCTATAAAATTACGTAAGAATATTTATTATCATTTTGATTAAACAAACGTTCATGTTAACGATTTTTCCATTGTAGGAAAACCTCGATTTATCACACTTCGAATTTAACACGAAATTTTTGGTTCGTATGTAATATGTAAAAATTAACACCCTGTTAATTTTTAAATTGTTTTTATCAGTAACAAGCAGTTATTTATTGTGACATCGTCACAATGCCGAGCTGCGATTTTTAATAGTATTTTTAATTAATTTAATTTAAAATATATGCTCTTCATTTCAAATTAGTGATGGCTTGCCACCCTTGTTTATCATACCGTTTCCTGTTAGCAATAATGTTTTACCTATCGATCACCTTTCAAAGAAAAGTATTCGAATTGAAATGACTTTCGATTGCATCGAATGTTCGTATATAGTTAATCGGAGAATCTTGTTTCTAAGCTTTTCGTATCTCCTCTGGAATGTATGGCTATCTGTCAAAAAATGATCCTCCCAAGATTTTTACACTTTTGGACACGAGAAAACGTCGAAAAAAATTTAAAACAGTAAAAATGATAGGGATTTTCTGTATGTATGGATATTAGTATGCGTGAAGGGTATTTTGTTCACCCAGTTTATAGCTTAATAATTCCTGTACCTTTATTTAAATTCCTGAAATCTGGCAGCGAGGTTTGCGTATTCGGGAACTCCTGCATCTTCATCAGCCCCTCTTGACCAAGCATCATTATCTCCAAGACGACTTCGACCCGGAAGTAGAATAAACTACCGATAGCCTGCCAGACTGAGATTCAAGAAACAAATGAAGAAAACCGAACTAAAAACAAGATATACTCTCACGGGCGTAGCCACGGTGTAGCAGGGAGGGACAAGGGCCCACCCTAGCTCATTTTGTCAAACGAAAAATTATAGCTCAATAGGTTATAATAGTATTGCGTGGTAAGAAAGAATGCTGCCCTTCTATTAGTATCATACCTTTATATATGTAAGACCCTACTTTTGCATCCTAACTGGCATCATATACATATCTAATGGTATCATATGCTTACTTATAATATCTAAGAAAATCTTACGTTTTTTCAATGAAGCAATACGAAACTTTACGTCATCGTATCATATTTGAATCTGCCAGTAAACAGAATTCGAAGTGTTTGGTAATGTAGACAAGAGACTTGCTGGGTGTTTGATAATGTAGATTGGGTGGGAATATACAAAGCAGTTGAAAACACGATATTATAATTGTATTGCCGTGAAAGTTACGCAGCTCGTTGCTGGATGTTTTAACGCGTATTCGGAAAACCTATTTTATATCACCAACTTTCGGCTTTAAATGCCACCCCTCGCCCGTATTAGTCCGTTAAATCGAGATTTTACTGTATTTTGTTAATTAACGAAAAGTTAATTCTTAAAACTTTCATTATTTTAAAATGTTACGTATTTTATTTTTACAGGTTCTAATTAATTACACAATTTTGGTATAAGTTTATTTAATAACTAACGAAACACAAAACTGCGTAACTGTATTTTTTTCATTCGTTAAAATATTTACAATGTTCGACAAATTTCTATAAAGCAAAATTTTATACACAAGAAAAATACATTATAGAACTAAAATTTTATAGGAAAAATATCAACTTACTTGATGTTGTATGTTCCTTCTTTGATATCATTTGTCTTTTCTTTTAAACTCAAAACAAAATTTTCGTGGCAAATATTTCTCTCAGTCTTACAACATAAATCTTTGTAACCGACGAATGCATTATTCCAAAAGATAGTGAGATTTTGTATGATTTCGTCAAGTTTGATAATATCTTCGATTATTGATTCCTGTAATACAGAAGTTCCGTTTCTAGACGTAGCTATTATTGTTGCAATTGCTTCTAACCTTGTCATTCTTCTAAAATCACATTGTGACACGTTCTTTGGAAAAATAGATTCAATAGTTGCTCTGTCAATTCTGCTTCTTGCATTGGATGAAATAAACAAGTGTTCTAAATTGTTTTGCAATGGCATATGCAATAGACCGGTTGCTAAAACGAGCGACGTTATAAAAGTGACTGCAACGTATATTTGAGGATAGCAACCGACATGATATCCAATACGAGATAATGTAGTAGAGACAATTCTGCTGATGGTTTTATGCCTGATTTTCATTTTGAAGTAGTAAAATAACTGAAAAAATTCGTGAAATAGATTCGTATATAAGATAAATTATCTTCTGAATATATATTTTTAATTAAAAATTTATTAATTAAAAATACTAATTTAATTAAACTGTTGGTTTAGAGCTATATATTGAACAAGGATCAGATGTTAATATGAGTGTAGAGTATTAAAATAAGACTTAATCTTATAATATAATGGAGAAGATTTGGTAGTAATAATAATAATAATAATAATAATAATAGAGCCCAAACGGTTAGGAGTTGAAAGCTAAAATTTGGTACAATGTTAAGGTACGCTATAAGAATTCACACTAAGAAGGGATTTTTGGAAATTTCCCCCCGCGGGGAAGAGGGAGAGGTTTGAAGCTTACCCTGAAGAACTCGGCTTCTATGTATTATTTTATATGCAATTTTTTGCATTTTTGCGAAAAATCGAACATATTTTTAGACTCATCTAAAAACGCTATGACAAGTCTCGGAAGAGGGTGAGCGTAATTCCTGCACCCAGTGAAATCGGGTAAGATCGGCTGTAATCTATTTATTTTAATCTTCGCCATGATTACTTTTTGCCAGAGCAACGCCGGGTTCATCTTCTAGTATAAGACATTTTAAATGTTGTAAAATAGTTTTATTATTCGTAAAGTAAATGAATGCTAAATCATGCGTGTTAAGTTACAGTTTTCGTTTTAGAAACGATCGAAGATTAAAATAATAAATATGTAATTATAAAAAAAATAAACAGTTCATAGACGAAGCGGCGAGAAAATTAAATATTAATTTTAAGCGCAGCAAATTGTTTATGAGTTTATATATTAATTAAATTATTACGTAAATCGTATGCCTTTAGAATAAAAGAAAAGTGAATTAAATTTGCTTACCTCGTGTCTCTTAGTATCTAACGATGTACTGGAATAAATTTATCAATATGTTACTTCGTTTATCAAGTCATGATTTAAATATTAATACAAACATTTTCTGATAACGCATTATCAAAAGTTTGAAGTACAAAACTGCAAATTATATTATGATAAACGTTTTTAAATATAACGCGAGCATTTTAAATGAAAATAATATGGATAAAATTTATGAAATAAAGGAATTTTATTTGAATAGTAATTACAGTATCATGCAGTGGTGTTAAGATTTTTCGTGATATACGAATAATAACTAAGATGCAAATACGTCAGACTGTTGTCTGCACGGATTGATGGTTTGTGTGTTCGGGAACCGATGCGTAGCGAGGAAGCCGGAATTTCGAAATTCGATCTTTGAGCTGACTTTTTCAAGATCAAAATTCGCTATGTAAAGTTTATGATTGCCTGTTGTAAGGTGGTCGCCTGTTACATCTCGATCGAGTATTCGTTTGTTTGAAATTTACATTGATCTCTTCAACAAGTTTTGTTCTGATCTTTACGACGGGCTTTTGACATGCACGGTCTGCAAACGTGTTTTAAACGTTTTTGCCTGTTATGACGTTAGACTTGCACGTCTCTCCCCTTAACCTGCGTGTTTTAAAGACCGTGTTTTAGAAAGAAGTGGTCGATGTCAATAAATGACGACTGTTTTTAGTCTTCAATTTGAAACTTAAAATATAAATCAAATGCAAATAATAATATGTTAAAGACAAGGTTCAGTAACAATCATCAGTATCCGTGATTAGTTCTTGACGTGACACACTTGATTTGAACTCTTTTGTTTCTCATCTAGTGTACTTGCTGTCACATAAATTAGTTCTGAACACTTTATGAGTAAAATTTCATACACAGATTTTATCCCGTGTACTTTACAGTTTCGTTACCGAGGCTAAAGAACGTTTTCTCCCTTTATCACTAATTTAGCAAGTTTTTAAAAAATTCCAAAATTCCTAACAACTGAATTGATCTTTATTGTTTTTTCATAAACATGTAGAAATGCATAACACAGGTCATGATATATAGGTTATATATTTTATTGTGTTATCAAGAGCTACGCAAAATAAAAAAATTATTTAATCACAAAGTATAAATTTAAAAAAACATAACTTATTAATTGTTTAATTTTAAAAAAATTAAAAGAATTATACTGTACAATTTATATGTCTAACTGACTAGAAGTTTATAACACAAGTAGCTGAAAAATTTCAATTGCCTATACGTAAAAAAATTATAGTTTGAGAAAAAAATGACCAATTCCATAGTCTACACCCATCAAAAAATGGTTTTGAAGAATTTGCATTCGCGACATTCCCTGCTAAAAGCGATGCCTTTCTAAAGGAAATTCAATAATAAATTGCCTCCAATTTAAGTGCTACATACGTGAAATGGTGACGCTATATCGAGATTTAAGTGTTCTCGTATTAAATTATTTTATTGTCTGATTGTTCCCAAACTTTAGTAAATCTAACATGATATCGTTTCTAATAAAAGTTTAATGATGAATAGTATATGTTATACTAACTATCAAAACAAATATAATGTATATCGAATTGTGATATGTTAAAAGAAGCCATCTTGGGGTAATTGCATGACCACCCCACTGCGGATCTTTGGGTATTTGGAAAACACGAAGACAAATAGGTGATGGGTGTTACTAGCCAAGAATGAGAAGAGATATTAAAGAACATGTCTTAAGCTGCTCATTTGTCGAAAGTCTAACCTTGAACAAAATAAACATGCAGCAATGATGCAGAGTACAGAAGATAATGACGTCAATGACTTGGTAGATGTTGATATTTTGGACCCCAATCCAAGAGCTGAAACGATATCTGATATTTCTGAGTTTTTATTGATTACTTTAGAAAATGGGTAAAAACTTTTCCTTTAAAAGGCATAATTTCTTTACCCTAGTTTTTGCAATAAAGTAATGGATATTTTTACAGATATATCAATAGAATGTAAAAAGCAAGTGATTCAGAAAATAAACCCTAATTATTTTTTTATTTAGCGCAAAAACCAATTGAAACTTAAACGCATTCTGACCACCCCATACCGCTTATAATTAAATTTAACGGAGTGAGAAAACAAACGTAAGAATAATATTTTCATAGCCTACCAACAGTCACGAAGATTGGGACGTCACATCCCCGAATAACTCTATCCATCACAACATCAGTTAATTATTCTACTGGCTAAACATATGCTAGGTGGCAACTAAGACGTAAGATTCTATTGTTCTGGAATAGGATAGTCAAATATCCAACTCCATCTGAAACTGCTCCTGAAAAAAAAACAGACGAATTTAAGAAAATAATCCAGAAAGCTCAACAGAATGTGATCTAAAAAGGGCTTCTATAAATAATAAATACTCTGACGTTCCTGATTTCGTGTAGGACTGGAGCTCGCCTTTCGGAATTTCACAATAAACTTTGACTTTGCGCTCACGGAGAAAACAAAATAAGGAGAAAAGAAAGAATACTAAATACATTGTCAGGAAATGTCGGGTGGTAATAGTTAAAATTCTTGATTGTCCGAATGGAAGGCATAATGCTCTAAAATATATAGGTTACTCTACTAAAAACTCTGCTCAGGACTTCAAAACTGTTTCTTCTTTAGACGATATTCGTTAAAAGTAATCTTGCAAGCCTTTCGATTATTTGTATTGATAAATAAAAGGGTTCAACAATAAAGGTACTTTGTATCATCGTCGGCCACATCCAGTTATTACCCCTCACACCTCCTTTTATCCAGAATTCAGATTCAACGTCATATCGACTTCACACTATTTTAAGTTTTAATAACAATATAAAACACATCATAGAATAATATATTTATAATTTTTAAGTAATAGGCATTTGGAATTTAATGGTTCAGTTAAGGTTAGAAAAATAATTGCCGTTAGATCAATTCAACAATTTTAATTATTTTATTGCATTTACTAAGTAAACTGTAAATTTTAAAAGTAAAGTGTTTATTGAAGTACTTTAGATAATACAAGTATAAACGCATCAATCAAATACTAAAATTACGTGTACACTTTTTCTTTCCAAATGGTCAAAACGATTTTCAAAGTAGATTATAATACAGTATAAGTGAAAATGATCAATTTTCGCCAAGAAATGATATAATTTTAGAATTTAAACATTCAAGTTCGTTCCTATAATTTTCATTGTATTTCAGTTTTTGGTCTTTCCTTTTGAAACATTTAAACGTAATAGAATCTAAAAGACTCAAAATTATAGGAAGTAAAACCAGACTGTGAAAGGAAGCGAAAATTACCATTAAAGTTATAATTTTAGAAAATACAACAAACGATTCCGCAGGACCGAAATATAACACCGAAACACCTAACAAACTAGATAAACATCCTTGTAACACTGGATATCCGGCAGCATATAAAGAACTCTTGATTTTCTCGTTCGGTGTCTTCTTTTTGCAATTGATAAACGCATAAGCCGTATGAACCGTGTAATCAACACAAAATCCCGTACACATCACTAATGCTATTAAAGCGGTAATATTCACCGTCACATTAAATATAGACACGTATCCAGTCAAACCAATTTGAATAGAAACAATAGCGATGGCAACAGACAAAAGAAACAATACGTTAGGGGTAAATAAAAGAAATACTAAGATCACTATGGCGGCAGCACAAGACATGGCTTTTATACAGTTTGAAAAAATATTGTAAGCAAGTTCATAATATATAAATCTAAAATTGTATGCAATAACTGGAATCTTGCTGTTATCGGCAATTTTTCTTACATTTTCAAAAAAAAAGTTTTCGTCAATTCGAGATTTTCCATCCAAACTTGAAACGAGAAATCTCGATGCAATAATTTTATCTTTTTCTTCGTTAAAGATAACGTCGTTTCTAAACCTATTTGCTACTTTTACTCTCAAGAAAACATTTTTAAATGCACCCAGAAACTCTTTAGAATCAGTCAGATTGTAACCAGAAAGCGAAAACTTTGCAACTGGAGATTTAGTAAATGCCAGAAATTCTCTCAGCCAACTTTCTGTGGTCGACGAATCGGATATAAATGGAGCAGACTCGAAACTTTGCAGAAGATCTTCTATATCATTTTGGACAGTTACATTTGAGTAGTCTAATGTCTGGTTAATGACTATTTGCACTTGATGACTGTAATTAGAAAAATACTTATGTTCAACGTTTAGATAGTCACGTACGTAAGAAGTATATGGAGAAAGTTTAGTTATGTCTTCTCCTTCTTGAATAAATTGTAAACAGTATATTGCACCCATTAGATAAATGACAAACGTAGAAATCACAGTAATTTTACTAATTGGATTTCCAAGGACTTCACCGAAAATATTACCGAAGAATACCATGAAGAGATTTTCTTGTGACTTTACTTCTGTTTTCTGTTCAACTATAAATAAAAATGACTTATTAATTGGGTAATTCCACATAATTATTGAAATTGTAATGTTTTAATTGTTATTAGTTTAATTATAACATTTTGTTGTAAGTGGCAATTACCGTGATAAAAGTTTTCTTACCAGAATGATTATGTTTGACTGGCCAGAAAAATAGAGAATGCAGCTTATGCTCTTCTCTGTATCCATCTAAAGCCATCAGTCCGCCGAAAAACAATAACTGATAAATATAGTCAAACACGATTGACAGAGCTGCATAGGCGCAGAATATATGAATACATTTGTAAGGTGTTACAAATCCCGTGCAAAACGCAAGGAGATTGGTTAGAGAGGTAATAGTTATGGAAACTGCAGCTTCGGCATATGCTTGTTTCATTCTTTCTGGAACAGAATGGTTGACGTCAGTTCTTCTCCACGCAGCTATCAATATAAAGCCATCGTCGACACCAACACCTGAAAGTTAATTAAATATTAGAAGATACAAGTTGTAGTTTGTTTGTAATGATAATTTTTTTAGTATGAAGTGACAATTTAGAAACGTGTTTACTTTGTTGAATAAAGAAATTTAATACAGATATAACAATTGTATGAATGTATTCAGTAGGAATGAAGAAGAAATGTTTTAACAACTTAAACATTGTACAGTATATATACTGAATTAACGTAAATTTATGTAAATTATTATATAATATTCGCATATTTTTACATTATCTGCAATGGTGTAAATTCGGAGTTATTAAAAAATCCATAGCGTTTTTTAAAAAAAAATCAGCACGCGTTTCTTGTGATTTACTTGTTTTCACTCGTTAAAACAATCCCCAAATAGATTAGATTACGTATAATATATAATACAGTGGTACCTCGGTATACCTCTGCTTTAGAATACGTCCAATTCGGAATACGTCCTGTTTGGACGAAACAAACTTTGCTCGGTATACTACTTTTGTTCGGTATACGACTTAATTCAATTATACGCGCCATCTATGAACAAATAGAACTATCGGTGTACTAAACCAGACTAGACGTTCGTGGTCCCCTGTTTATAACTTTGTTAAATTTCTTCTGATTTTAATTTGTAAGTAAAATTTTATTATTTTTATTAATCGTGAATTGCAAAAAGGCAAATGTACAGCAACAGAAAACTAAAAAAGAAAAAAAAATGACTAGAATCACAATGGAACTGAAAAAAGAGATTGTTGAGAAATATAAAGGTGGCATGCGAGTTCGAGATTTTAACTGTTGCATACCGTATTCCGAGAACGACGATATCTACAATCTTAAAAAATAAAGATATTATTAAATCTGCTAACGTTGCGAAAGGGGTTAAATCAATTTCTAAACAGAGATCGAAGACATTAGATCATGTCGAGAAATTGCTTTTGCTTTGGATAACTGAAAAACAGTGCTGGAGACAGCGTATCGGAAGCAATTATTTGCGAGAAAGCTAAAAAGATACACGCTGATCTCACGAAAAATCAAGCAGGAACTAGCCAGGAAAGCGATGTGTTTAAAGCCAGCCATTTTTTTTTTTTACGTGAGAACGGATTAATCATTTTTACATTACTTCTTATGGGAAAGATTGGTTTGGTATACGTCCTATTCGGTATAAGTCCAAACATCAAAAACGGATTAAGGTCGTATACCGAGGTTCCACTGTATACGAGAAGATCAGATGCATTTATTTTTATTTAAGAAGCGACACGAGTATGTCTATCTGAAACTCGTTTGTCTCACCCGCATGTCCGGGCAATAAGTGCATTCACTACTTGAAAATAACAAAAGTATGGCTAACTAAGTTTAAAATAACGGAGAAAGTTAATTGGTAATATGTTTTCTCTGAAATTTTTAATGTGAACTCGGAAAAGCTAATTGGATGTTTCAGCATGTTAATTCATCCATTCATAATGTTCTCTCTTAATACAAACGTGGTTAAAAAACAAGCTAAAGTTGTAAAGTGGCCTGAAAGATGTCCTGACATAAACCCAATTCAAAATCAATATATTTGAAATCAGAAATTGTGGAATGTTAAAATAGAGTATGTAAAAAATGCACAAAAACGAATTATTTCAATAGAGCATTGTGTTTTTGATGTTATAGACTGAATGAGACGTCAATTATCGAAGAAGTTAGAACAACTATCAAACTTTTGTGTTTATTACGAAATTCCAGAAACATTATGGACATCAATTTTGAATCTTTGTGACAATTCATTGATCATTTAATATTTGAATGTTTAAAATTAGTTTAATTCATTGTAAAATTATACTCACAGTGCTTCTGTAATGATACGGCATAGTATTTGACGTTTAGAATTTAAAAAAAAAAAAAAAAATATATTTTCTACCATAAAACTTTTGGGCCAGCAGAAAAATTTAGTAATTAAAATATAACATTGATTATTTTTTGATACTCTACTTTCGGGCACCCTTTGTCATGAGCATTGTTGTACTAATTAAGACAATGATAAATGGAATAAATGTACATTTTCGTATGATATTATACTGTCAATTTTTTTTAAGTATAAAACTCCAGAAAACATACCTAATATTAGGAAAATGATCATGAAATTTGGCGAGGCGTAATCCATTTTACTGTAACACAGTATACCAAATGCTGCAACAGTTGCTAAGAAAGGTGATGCGCAACCAGCGATACCCATCCAAGGTTTGCTCCTGACAGCGTCAGTTGACAAGCAAGAAATTGCTGAAAATAACAGCATAATTGGACCAATAACGAGGACAAGAAACAAACAACTTTCGCCAATTTCATTAATTTCGTCATTTAGGGACTGACTTAAAATTTTAAAAAATTTAGTATTGTTCAAGTGAATTTTTGACAAAATTTCTAAACACGTTTGTTCCCATTTCAGCGCCATTTCTTTCTTCTCTTTTGTGGTACGGTCCAATGCGTAGTTCAATCCAATTGCATTGGAATCTCGGATCATATCTTCTTCACCTAAAGTTACTCCTCCAAATTCCAGAGCAGACAATATTACTTGATCTCCAGTTATATCAACCGGATATCTAAAAATAAATTTAATTAAGCATCACACAAATATAAATTGTAGTCACATTTTCTATTACTGTTATTTTTCATAATTAACTAAATACTTATGTCCATAGCATATTTTTATTTCACTTAAACGAACATTTTTATTTATGCAATTTTCATTATTTCGTAAAGGAATGTTGATTTTTAAAAATTTTACTATTTTAGAAAGTAGCCAGATTTTATTTTATAATTTTCAAATAATTATTCTACTTCGGCTTAGCAGAAATTTGAAATGAATAATCGCCAACGAAACAAAGAAACTATGAAACTATCTCTTCTCTTTCACTGAATCATTTGCAATATTGCATAAATTTCTATAAAGAAAAATATATATATTCAGGCAAAGCTGAATTTCATTATGCCTGGTATATTACAGATGTGATATACCAGGCATATTATTTCATCTATTCATATTATACCAGGCATGTTAATTGCCTGGTATAATATAACAAACAATGAGTTTGGACATTATACAATGCTAAAATGTTTTATAAGTAAAATATGAACTTACTTTATGTTGTATGTTCCTGTTTTGATATCATTGATTTTTCCTTTTAACGTCAAAACAAAATTTTCATAGCAAGTATTCTTCTCGGTTTTACAACACAAATCTTCGTAACGTACGAATGCATTGTCCCAAAGGATGGTAACATTTCGTATAATATCGTCAAGTCTGATAATATCTTCAATTATTGATTCGTCCAATACAGAAGTTCCGTTTATAGGCGTAAGACGTATTGCTGCAAATGCTTCGAACCTTGTCATTCTTCTGTAATCACACTGTGACGTGTTGGTTGGAAAAATCGACTCAATAGCTGCTCTGTCGATCCTGCTTCTTGCATCGAACGGAATATAAAGGTATTCTATATCCTTTTGTAATGGAATGTTTAATAATCCGGTGGATAAAACAACTGATGTTATAAAGGTAACTGCAACGTATATTTGAGGATAGCATCCTATATGATAGCCAAGACGAGATAATGTTGCAGAGACAATTCTTCTTATATATTCATGCTTCATTTCTATTAAAAACAAGTATTTGTAAACACTGCGATAAAAGTATTTGTATATAAATATAAATATATTTTTTAAAATAAAAATTAATTAAGAAAAGTTTGTAGTAAAATATAACGATTAGTTAAATCAACTTCTATAGGCCTATATATATATTTAATTAATTAATTAAGTGTAAGATAGTGATTTTCAACTTTACTGAAGGAACTATTTAAAAAAATGATCCAAGAGTAAAGTAATAAACAGTTAATTATAATAAAATAATCAGTTTACAGATTAAGCAGAAGAAATTAAGTAGTAATTTCAAGGAAAGTAATTTAATAATGGCATTACGTATTGTATTTTGAATTAAAAGTCAATCAGGAATAAAGAAAAGTAAAATAAATGTACCTACCTCGCTGCTTTCACTATTTAATGACGTATAGTACAGTACCGAAGTGAATTTATATATCTTATTATATAATATCATAGTTCAAAATTATAATATAAACATTTTCAGATAAAACTTTATCGAAAGTTTGAAGTACAAAGCTTCGAACTGTGTAATATGGGTATTGTATATATTTTTTTCAATAAACTGGAGTATTTTAAATGAAGACAACATCATAATTATAGATTCATTACAAAAGTACATTTTACAAAAGATTAAAAAATAAATTCACTCTAATTGAATATCAATCACAGTGTCATTAAAGTACCATCAAGGACATTCGTGATATACAAGTAATTATAATGAGATGATTAATGATAAGTACACGACGTCAGCGTCTTGTGTGTACGGACTGGGGATTAATTTATCGTTGCAATAATACATACGTATGTATTCAGTAACGTAACTGGTTTCGTGTTAACGCATAGTTGTATAAATTCCGATCAAAATACATTAAACCTTTCTCTTGGAAGTATGGACATATATTATAATCTATTAAAACAGATTAATAAAATGAATATTAATCTGACAGAATTTAAATAATGATATCTTAAGGGAAAAGTCCAGTTACAATCATCATTATCGATTTACAACACTTATTTTTTCTTCTGAAGGACTTGATATCACGCAAACTAATTCTGTATACTTTAAAAATAAAATTTTGTTTTGCAGATTGCGGTCCTAGTACTGTAGAGTTCTGGTCCTAGAGATATACATATATACAGTCCGTCTTCTCCACTCTTTCTTTGGTGTGTTCGGTTAATGTCTAAAAAAAACAAGACGTGATGGCAATTCGCAATAATTTTGGATACTTGTCTGTGGCGTGTTATCCTACGAACAAAAAGGGCAATTGCCTAAAGCCTTCACCAACAGGAGGTCCCAAACAAATCTCTTATAAAAAATATTCCCCTAAAAATTTAGCGAAGAAAAACGTCTACTGTACATTGGTCCTCGTAATTCAAATTTGCCTGGGCCCCATGAAGCTATAACATAAAATAAAAATAATTTGCATCTTTTTTTACTACTTAACCTGTTTTTATAGCAGCACAATATCAATTGTTCCCGCGTTAAAATATAATGCTTGAGAGCAAGAAGGCCAATTCAATTGCCCTTTCACCAAGCCGTATACGGCTCTAGAAAATTGGCATTCCAATCATTGCATTTCGAGAATGGTTCCTTCCTAAATGAATTTCTATGATAAATTAGTCCCTGCTTAACTGTTACATGCCTGGAGTAGTAGTGCTATATCCAGATTTGAGAGTATTCGATTTGCTTATTTATGCTTTCTGCCTGATTCTTCCCAAGTTTTCTAAATCTAACGTATAAATTATTGATATTTGTTGCAGTAAAAGTTATAATAACAAATGATATTATTTATTATACGAGAATCCTAGTCAGGAAGATATCGGATTATGATTCGTGATATATTAAAACAATGGTTCCCAACCTTTTTTCATTAGTGTACCCCGTGACATGCCATATCTCTAGATTGTACTCCGTGACATGTCATATCTCTAGATTGTACCCCTCATTTAAGAAATTTAGTGAGTAACCGTATTGTTAAATTTACATATTGTAACTTTAAATTAAAGAAAAAAAAACTAAAAGAAAAAATGTATAATAAAGTTGTGATTGTTGCAAGGAACATTATTTATCTAATAATTTTTTAATACTATTAGTTTGTGATACATAATATATTATTTTTTCTGCCATAATAACTAACTTTTTTCTGTACCCCTAAACAACCTATCGCGTACCCCTAGGGGTACGCGTACCACAGGTTGGGAATCGCTG